AATAAAAATATATAATAAATGTATTATAATGGTACAGAAAACAATTCATTTCAGAGCACTAAATAAATCCATAACCTACCAAGAAATCATTACCTCTAAGAAAGTGGAAGATTTCCACAAAAGAGGACATCTGTCTAGAGGTGGGAATGATCCTATTCCTCTATCTATTTATTCCAAGTAATTAATTCATCATCATCACCAACGATTTTGCCATCATCTTCAGAATCCTAGGTGGGTTTGGTTCAGACTTACCTGGTTTTTCATTTTTAAGGAATTTTACTCATTATTGTAAGTTAAACTGTTAAAGTTGGTGAATTTTGTCTGTTTAAAGTGAAAAAATTGGTGCTTTCTGGTGCTAATAATTGATTTCGGTTTCTGGGATTGTTCTTTTTAATGCTAAAGTTGCGTGTTAGAGGTTGGATAGGTAAATGGGTTTTTTCGAAGCTCCTCTTATTTGGGGTTTATGGAGTTTTTGATTGATTATGGAGTTCTAATTTTGTTTAGTTAGAGTTTCAATAGATGAGCTTGATCTCAAGCTCCTGTGCTTTGGGAATTTCTGGTGTTTCTCTTTACCGGAAGTTTCTTGGAATTGCCGGATGGTGCAAATTTTGGGTGCTAATTGCTAAAAGTTGGGGTAGATAAATATTGCTATCTGAAAGCTGCTCAATATAGGGTTTTTTCTCCTCTTCGTGTGTGTGTGTGTGTGTTTATGGTTGATTAGTCTTCTGGGTATGAAGTATGATAGGTTAGTTTCAAATATATATATAACATATTTAGGATGGATTTGAACCTCTTTTACTTTTTTGGGTTTCTGTTGGTCATTAATTTGTTATATGATTTTGGCTCCCATTAATTGCTGGGTTGGTGGAATAAGTGTTAGGATAACATAGTTTCTTTTACGTGTGTTTTATGCAATTGTTGTTTCTTAGAGTTGTTGGTCCAGTATCTAACTAGGCCTAGAATTTCAAATAAGTTAAATCTCTCTTTCAGAATTCCCAAAATTTGCTTGTTAGCAATGTTTTCTCTTTGATATTGGCATTTAGCTTGTTTTGGCTGGTGGGAACTCTGTGCCATATAGATCCCTAGTTTGTTGCTTTATGGTTATTGGATTAAAAGTAACCTAGTCTAGGATTTGTATCTTTTGGTTAGTTAACATTGGTTTATGCACTTGGTTTTCATTAAGTGTTTTCTATTTGGTTCTTTTAGTTTTGTCATGTTTGTATTATTTGGTGATTAGGCTGTTTTCTGTCTTAGATGAAATGATATTTGCCCTTACCAACTACAATTAACAAATATTTATGTAATTTCTTTTGTATCATGCTCCTTAATGTTATTTAGTTGGTTATCCGGACAGGTGTTATTCTTTAGTTTGGATAGGGTATCACTTGAAGTTTGCTGATGCCTACAGTTCAGGGAATCAGTACTTTTTTTTTTTTTTTTTTTCTCCTTGCCTTTCTAATGTGTGATGGGAGCTTATTCTGCCAGTGGCCTTATAGTTGTTTCAGGGTTTATTTTTCTGTTAGTTTGTACCATTTTTAATTCTCTCTCTATCTGGCTTTACTAAGGGAACAGCTGCAGTTTGTTTCAGATTGACAGTCGGGGGCTCTAATTTATTTGAAGGGAACTCACGAGGTATGATAATGATGACCTATGGGGAGTAGAACAGTGAGGCTTGGTGCAGAAGATAAGAAGAAAGCATCCAACGGGATGCCGAGCTTTGATCCACAGTTAGCTGTTAACAATTCACTGTAATTTCTATCTTTACTTGTTCAATTTGTAATTTGAATATTCTACCAAAATATGGCCCACTTCCCCCCTTTCCTTTTTTGAGTCTTTCTTTATGGCACTCCATTTTCATTGTCCATGGTCTTATATTCCCATGTCTTCTAAGTATGTAGAAACTTTTAAAGTGTTGTTGTTACAAAGTTACACTTGGTTCCTATGCTGTTTAAAGAATAATCATTTTTCTTATCTGGTATTAAACTGTGAACACCACGTCTTAACTTGTTAGATTTGGGCATATTAATTGGGTTGGTTTCTTGTTTGATGGCTTCCACCAGAGGATAGGGTGTTAAGTGTTTTGGGTATATTTGACTGTTGGTGGCTGACAAGTTACATGACGAAGCTTTGTTGCTGTAAGAACATTTATGATGCAATCCTGTCTTTGATGAAGTGGCATCATCTTTTCACTTATAGTTAAAATTGCATTCATGTTTTGTTTATGATCTGTTTACCCAAATTCAGAAGTCTCAAAATGTTATTTATGCCCTTTTTCTTTTACTTAAGTTTGAATTGAACTGATCACAATATACATCTCATGTGCCTTTGATAGATGTTTAATACAAGACTCTTCTGTGTTTCTCTTTGCTATAATATTTGCAGAATATAAAGTACAAGTTACAGGTTAACGTAATTGCCTTATATGTAAATTTTGTTACTTATTATTTGTTAATAAAGTCTGGTTTCCAGTGGCACAGAGGGAAACACAATTCATTCGTTCCACATTTCTGATTTTGGGACATTTGAGCAATCTGTTGGATTTCGCTTAGAGGATGCAGTTCACTTAAGCACAAGTATGTATTTAGTAATTTGATTTTCAAGTTCAAATGGGAACAATCTTTGTGTTGATATTGTGCATTCCAATAGCATTTGCTATGCATCCTTTAGGAGGAAGAGGTCCAAGGTTTAAATCCCTCCTGCCCTTGTTTTGGCATGTACCAAACGTAACCCATATATTAAAAACTGAATCATCTTATTGCAGAGTTTAGCAATTGAGGCGTGTTCCGCAGATGCCTCGCCTGACTTTATGTACAATCATAAAATGATAAGGGATAAATTTTTCTGTCTCTAACAACATTTTAAAATGACACTTGGCTGTACAGACACTGTCTTCAATTCAACAAAAGTGGGTGGCCATACGGTTTCTGATCCCCCTAGTATTGGCACTTTTGATAAGGTGGATTTTCTGTAATATCCAATAATGTAGTCTTTGGTATTGCTGGTTGATTCTGTTAATTTTCTGTTTCTTTTCTTTTGCAGACGCTAAATCCATTAGTCATCAACCCATCAGCTGGCCCGGTTGAGTCTCAGAGGTTACCATTAGGAAAGGGTCAACAACCAAATCTTGTCTCTATATCTAGTGGTAATACAGAGAACTGGGGAGAGTCCAATATGGCTGATGCCAGTCCGAGGACTGATATCTCAACAGATGCTGACACAGATGATAAAAACCAGAGGGTGCTTTCTCTTAACATTCTGTCTTCCATGCTATCATGGAAGTGCTTTGTTCATTTTGTTAGTTTGAAAGTAAAATCATGCCAAATAAATTTGCTGCTAGCCTAACGTTTTAGCATCTATCCATGCAGTTTGAAAGAGGGAAATCCAATGCAATTTTAGCTTCAGATTCCAGTGACAGATCAAAGGATAAATTTGATCAGAAGGTAGTATAATCTACAATATATGTGTTGATAATGTGAGAACATATCTAATCATTGGTCTCATGCTGCTATACTTTGCAGAGTCTTCGCAGGCTTGCTCAAAATCGTGAGGCTGCAAGAAAAAGCAGATTGAGAAAGAAAGTATGGTTCTTTTATCCATTCAGCAACATTTTTATTGTGTTTTTCCATTTGGTTACTTTTCATTATTTTAGTCAAATATGACTCAAAGATGTTCATACTGTGTGTAGTCTGAAGATGGTAAAATTAGGGCCTGTTTTCCATCATCCTAAGGAATTGGTAGTCAATAAAATCAGAACTTGAGAGGACAGGAATGCATACAGAGGAGAGAGTCCAATTGATCTTAATGTTATCCTGGTTTCTATGTAGGCATATGTCCAACAGCTTGAGAGTAGCCGTTTGAAGCTGACACAGTTGGAGCAGGAGCTCCAGCGTGCTCGACAACAGGTTAGACTCAGTCCTTATGACCAAATTTACTATGTTTTTTTGTTTAAGCATTCTTCATTCACTTCTGTATGACTTGTATAATATTTGTCTAGGGTATCTTCATATCAAGTTCTGGAGATCAAAGCCATTCAATGGGTGGAAATGGTAATTATTCTTTCTAGGTCTCTATTATTTCTTTCTCAAGCTAGTATTCAATTACAAATTGTAATCTGAACCTTCTTTCTGTGCTGGTGACGGTGGGATGAGTCCTAAATCCTAAAATGTTTTTGACTGGTTTTGGCATCTTAATTATCTTGGATGAATAAAAAGACATGCACGCAAGACAGCAAGAGTAATTCACTATTTGGATTTTGAATGTATATGTACAAGCATATGTGTTTTGAATGTCTTTCCTTTTCTGTATTTAGACTTGCATACATTAAAATGCAGTATATCATTGTGCAACCATCATCTTCTCTTCTTGGTACACGCCGTGTCTGTTTGCAGGGGCAATGGCATTTGATGTAGAATATGCACGGTGGCAGGAAGAGCAAAACAGACAAGTTAATGAGTTGAGAGCGGCAGTAAATTCTCATGCAAGTGATGCAGAACTTCGTATTATTGTTGATGGTATAATGGCTCACTATGACGAAGTTTTTAGGCTGAAGAGTAATGCAGCAAAGGCAGATGTTTTCCATTTATTGTCGGGTATGTGGAAAACACCTGCCGAGAGATGCTTCTTGTGGCTTGGTGGTTTCCGTTCCTCTGAGCTTCTCAAGGTAAATCATCTGGATTTTATGTTGCAAATTGCAAATTTGCAATAGTGATATGGATTTACTACTTTACATAACAAATTCCAATGCTAAGCCGATTCATTTTCCTCATAATTTTGATGTTTGGATTAATGCCATATCTGAATCATTGCCTTAGCCCTTCTATCTCTTTCTCCATTTTCATTTTTTCTTATCTTAACCATTCATCATAATTGAATTCATTGCCTTTGTAGCTTCTTGCAAATCAGTTGGAGCCTCTAACAGAGCAGCAGTTGGTGGGAATTAGCAACTTGCAGCAATCCTCCCAGCAGGCTGAAGATGCATTATCTCAAGGGATGGAGGCATTGCAGCAGTCTTTGGCCGAGACGTTAGCCGGTGGATCTTTAGGTTCCTCAGGATCTGCTCGGAAGGAGGCAAATTACATGGGCCAGATGGCCATGGCTATGGGAAAGCTAGGAACTCTTGAGGGGTTTATTCGCCAGGTAATCTCATGGTACCTGTTACAATATTCTTACGAACATAGCTAACTTGTTATACTACAGACAATAATCCCAGCAGTTTTAGTTTTCCTTGCCCTCTTTCTCCTTACTGTTTAGCATCTTTCTTTCGTCCTCTTGTTTGCTAAATGTGTATATTCAATGGGTTCACACTCCCAGGCTGACAATCTCCGGCAGCAAACACTGCAACAAATGCACCGGATATTGACGACACGGCAGGCAGCTCGTGCACTGCTTGCAATCAATGACTATTTCTCACGATTACGTGCCCTTAGTTCCCTTTGGCTTGCTCGTCCTAGAGAATAAGAAGCAACAACAGCCTGAGTTGTGAGGTGAAGGATCGTCTTGTGTGTTTGCAGTGCTTAGTCTTGTATTCTGTGTTATGACACAGTCATAGGATTTTAGAATTTGTATTTATTAAGAAACCAGTATGTATTTATATTTGTTATATTATATTTTGATTGCTGCCATCACCATCAACATCAGGAACTGCACTGTAAACCTGTTGCTGTTGTAACAGACATTCTAAATATGAATTTTTAACATTGGGGTCAGGACTTTTGGTTCTTCTTTCTTCTGCAGAAGTATAGAAATTCACATTTTCATCAAAAGCTATTCTTACCAGTGGGTAAGCTTGCTACTTTTGGGTAGAGCTAGGTCTATGCCTATATATATATATATATATATATTCCCCACACGAAAAAGAAGTAAAAAAGGGTGAAGAACTGAATTTAGGGAAGGGATCAATGTGATGGAAGCATTTGGTAATTTTGTGGAAGACCAATCACAATATTTTCCACGCAGACCAATCATGGGGTGTTAAAAGGAGCTTCTAGAAAGTCAGTCGCTAGCTTCAGAATTAAAATATACCACAGTACCATCTGATTACATTAAGCAGTCCAAACAGGCCCTAAAAAGAGTAAACATGTACATATTTTTTACTTTTTGGTACTAACTTTTCAATATTTAAAAATCACATTAGATCCTAACTAATCTGGAATCGAACTACGTTAGACCCTATAAAAGAAAAATTCTTGCAACATTTGTTTTTCATTCACAAAACTCAAACTCAATACTTTATTTAAGGAAAACCAAGTTCCTTTCACTCAAATCACATGTATATGGACAATGACTACAATGCAAAGAATAGAGTTGTAAAAGCATACAATAGTAGCTGGTGCCTGGTGATGTAAAAGAGACTGCTAATTTGTTATATGGCTTTACCACTGACATAGACATTGCCATCTCTTCATCAGTGACGGCTAACAGCAGCACAATGAATAGTCATCAGGTTCCCTCGCAGGGATGAATAAGAAGATACATAACTTTACCCAACAAAAAGATATGGAAACAATTCCAAGTCATTATTATGAAATGAGGAAAGTCAACACCTGAAAGGTAGAAGCTCAAGAGGGGCAATATCCCTAAAATATTGAAGGATCAAAGGTAATTGCTGTTATAGAAATTCTTGAGGAAATCCGACATGCCATCATCCTTAGTGTTCAAATCTTGCACAAGCCCTTGACGACCCACAACATATTGGCCAATGATGTGGTGCCGCTGCTTTGCATGCTCCACGATGTTGCCCAGCTCTTCCATCCCCTTAAAGAGCAGCATATCAATCACCTGCAGATTTCAATACTATCAAGACAGGGAAGCAAAGAAGGCATTCTCAAGCCACAGATTCTCATCTTTTTAATGATGAAGTACTACATTCATATAAAGCTAAACATAATAAAGAAACTTTTCCATTATTGTAAGCCTAAGTCTTACCTTTCTTTCTGTTTTTCTTATCTTTTCTTATCTTTTTTCCTTTTGGCAAGAAGTACTGGCAATCATATAAACCAAATTCTACAGAATATCATCAGTGTGCAATGGATTTGACTGACTGCATTAGACTGTGCACCACATTAATGAGAGAGAAAAATTGGCATATCTTCACCATTTTCTACAAGAGAAAATCTCATTTTAAGCACAAAGCACCATTCTCCCTAATCAAACACACTGAAATGAGCCAAAAGCATGATTCTGGACTGAAGAAAGGGATTGAGACTGGAATAAACAATTAGTTTGTTGTATCATTTTCCCTCGCACTCCTAAATGAATCAAAGTTAATCAATCAAACTAAATATAACTTCCATATCTGATAGCTTGCTCTTGGATGATGTGTTTGCAGTGTTGTAAAAGAGCATAATAATGTTTTTTTTTTTTTTTTTGGGGGGAGGTGATTAAATATGTAACGGGAAATTAAAGGATGAAAAAGTTGTGGACTCAGGTCTTAAACAGAGGCTGCAACCCAAGCTTATGTCGAAAATTGACAATGCTCTAAGAAGAGTACAAGTGAAATCCTTATTTAAGGTCTTAAGACTCCATTCAAAATTAGAGAATCTGGTTATTTCTGTTAGATGAATTTTTTTTTTTCAAAAACACCCCCAAAACAAACAAAATCCTCCATTTTTATCATCCAAGAAATATATATAATTGCTTGAAAAAGGAAGCAGTTTGTAACTTTAATAAAAGATTTACCTTTATTCACTCATTTATGCAAAATCACCAATTTTTTTCTTTTTTTTTTTTTGTTCATTTCAGGATAAATAAGATTCTTTTCTTTACAGCAACCAGATAGGTTTCAATTTCTCAATTGTTATAAACAGTGCAACTACGATAACAAAATAAATTAGCTCAAACAATTAGAAAATAAATGACACAAGAAAGAGAGCAATTGATTTAATTGGAAGAAGATGTTCATAGAAACAAGAGAAAAAGGGGGAGTTGACCTTGGGGTTAGTGACGTGAGCGTTTTTGCGGATATCGGAGGCGATGGTGGAACGGAGCTGGGAGATGGTGACAACGTCGTGGAGGTTGTAGATGTCCATGATCGCCGGCATCGATCTGCAAGCCGACCTGAAGAAGTCGAAGACCCGACCCCTGGCCTCCTCCAGGTTCACCGAGTTCGGCGGCACCTTCAGGCCCCTCAACGTAAACGCCATGTCTCCAATCGAAACCCAACACTCGAACCTCTGTGGATTGGATTTG